TTTTTTTGATTACTAAAAATCAAATTTTTGTTTAAAAAGAAATATAAATAAGAGAAAAGAATTAAGAATAATTCGTGAAGTTATTCTTCAAGTTGTTTTAAGAAAAATAGTAATATAAAAGTATAAAATTTTTTGTAAATGTTTTTTTTTTGTGTTTGATTAAAAGAATAGTAAAAATAATTAAAAAATTTTTTGATCACTTTTTAATATAGAAAATTTTTATTTAAAGTTTTATATAATATAATATATTATATTATTTCAAGATTAAATTTATAGATTTTTTATATTTATAATAAGTTAATTGGATTTATTATAAAAGTTTAACTATAATAAATATTATATTATTTAAGTATATATTGTATATTGTAAATTATATATTCAAATAATTAATAAATTAGATTATTATTATTTTTTTTTACTAAATTATGAAACGATATTTAAAAAGCTTTATACTATATATATTAAATAATTATCAATTGAAATAAAATAAAAATATTTGTTCAAGGATCTTTTTAAATCAATTGTTAAATAAAAATTTGAACAGTTTTAAATCTCAAATTAATTATAAATAAAAAATAAAAAATATAGATATAACAATTAATATAATATTAATTATTAGAAAAATATATATTCTTTATTAAAATATTCTTGTTATAAGTACAATAAGTAAATGCATGCTAACAGTCTGGCTTAATGGATTATTGCAAAGAACAGAAAATAATAGCAATAATAAAATAATAAATAGAATAAACAAATAAAAAATATTCAGATATTTTAAACTTTGTCAACAATAACAACAACAAATAGATTAATTAAATAGAAAATATTATTATTAAAAGGTTTGAACGGTTCTGTGGAACGCCGCTCGGTTCCAATTCCGCTATTATTAACGGTTCTGTGGACGATGCTCAACTCTTCGCAAATGAATCGTGCATATTATGTTGAAAATATCAAGGTTAGAAATCAAAGATGAATATGCCCCTTTATTAAAATAAAAAAGTACTTTCGATCGCCCGAACGAGGGCCTAGATATAGAATGGGAGGTGTACTTGAAATATCTGTCGCAATTAATTTGCAGTTTGACGTCATACTGAGACGGTCTTATAAGGCAAACTGCGATCCATACAAGACAGCACTAGGCAGATATTGGATACTTAAAGATTCCGTATTTGATGCCGTCTTCGTTTGTCATCTAATTTGGAAAATGAGGATTATTAATTTGTTGGGAGCCTCTTCATTACCAAGTAGATTTAAAATGAACCATTCTACATGTTAATTTTTTCATATACTATTATTAAAAAATATAGGATGATGTCTCGCAATAGATCCGAAGTGAAGGACGTCGCATACAGAAAAAGAATTACGTACTTTGGTGCCTACATGCTTTATTTATTTATTTTGTCGATCCCTTTGAATACAATCGAGCAAACACTTTATACAGTATATCAGTGATTATATTTTATTGTCGTACTCTTTTTCTATCTTTCATGTATTGACCAACCGGATAGCAAATAGATAAGAGTATAAGGGCATGAACTTATCAATTAATCTTATGGATATATCAAATTAAATAAACCAAGTCGCATAAAGAATATGTTGAAATTCTTTGTGGGAACAATCCCATCAATTTGTGCAAAGAGGATTCATCCCCATATGCTGATTCCATTCAACTATATCATGTAATTCCATTAACCAGGCAGCAGGGATGCCCGATACTAGTGATGTCATAATAATAACTGGAATCATATTATTTTTATTGGTACGTATCCGACACGTGGCAAATATTTGCCTGAAGATTATGTAAACCAGGGATCGACTCTATATTGCCAACTTCGATAACCAACCCCTTAAGTTCAGCAGTATAGTTGATCCTGCAACAAGAATTTCCTTATTTATTTGCCCAGATAATGGATCCCAAGTAAGTATTAAGAAAGAAATTCTGTCCACTACCGCTCCATACGATGAAAGAGTACTTCGTAAGCGATAATTTTTCCATTGACCAAATGAATGCTAGCAAAAAGCTCTCTCTCTCTCTCGGTTTTGCTATTCGAGCGACGATTATTGGCTTCGTATCACCACTTCCGTCCATTTTTTTAATACTTTAAGTTCAAATGAAAAAAATAGTTGCATATATGGATCGAATCCGAATAAAAAAAAAAACTGTAATGACAGATAACGAGTAACAATTAACCGATATGCTTTATATTAATATCGAGTGTAGCGGGTAGGTAGAATTATACACCACATGTATAATCATTCAAAGAATTAATAATAAATGAAAGTTGAAAGCAAATTTACTTTTATTAGAATTCGCGTGGATTTTCACGAACACCACACGTATTATCCAAAGATCGGCAATGCTGGTGTTACATTCTCTTTAGAAATCCAAAAAGTGCTAGCTTCAATACAGTGACGTGTCACCACGTCGATTTTTATAGTGGGAAATGTAGGACAGGGTTATTATGCAATAAAAATTATGGATTTATGCTATAATTAGAAACCTTGTTCGTTTATTTATTATTATGCGTACTTAATCCCAGACGAAAGAAAATTATTCCTTCCGATTAGCGTACACACGGTTAAATGCATTAAGGTTTTTTGGTGTCTAGGAGAATGGTTTGGAAAATGGTTGCTAGGTAGTTAATGTAATGTACAATAAATTTTAACCAGTTGACAGAGAACACACAAAATAATCCAGCGCAATAATCAAAGACTACACCATTGCTAATGATGAAACTGTATTTTTCGGAATGATTTAAGTCCCCAACCGCCGCATATGACCTACCCTTCGAACGAAATGAGTCACTCTCGGATCATACCGCACTACCTACACCAACCTTAGGCAGGATTTTGTAAATTGTGCGAGAACTTATTTCCCATGCCGTGCTACCAACTGCATAAATTTATTACGCATACATGCCTCATTTCATTTGTGTGCTCTCGTGTAAAACCAAATTATTGGGTTCCAATAATTACTTACTAAGACAAATTATAACATCGTAAAATAAGATAGCGGCGTGCCAGAATGCATGGTCGCTACCACGACCTTTTCGTCTGCTATCAAAAGCCTGTGAACACTGCATTAGTTAAATAAGTATAAGTTAACTAAAAATTAATTAATATAATGTTTGGCCACCATCTGTAGTAACTCAACATGGCTAGCCTTATACGGACGGATCTTTTAAGAAAATGTTGATGTTTTTCAGGGTTCAAAAAACTGCGTCAATTTTCCAGAAATCCCCCTATGTCTCAATGTCTGGATTCAGTAAACACCTAGTGGCATCTAAGAAGAAAACTTGCTAAGTGGTCTAATTTAACAGTTAGATGTGATTAGCTCTATACTAAAAATAAATAAATAAAAAATGAAATAAAAAATGAAATAAAAAACAAACAAATAAATAAATAAAAAGTAAAATGAAAAAAGTACAGTATGTATGACGTCATGGATTTATTATATAATTTTTTTCATATTAAGGTAATCCTTCATCCCTATTCTAGAGAGATATTTTTTTTTTTTTAAAAAAAAAAATAGTATTTCGCAGTCGTTTAAAGGAAAAGTCTAAATCAGCGGCGATTAAGGACGTAAATAATTCTGAAGAGCATTAATGGTTGGTGTATGTAGCCTTTAATCGTTAATCTATATAAGAATAGATAGGTTCACGTACAAATGTTTTCACTTAGATTAAAAAAAAAAATTGTTGATAATATACAGTATTTACAGTATTTATTTAAACAAATAATAATTACTGATAAATTTGGAACCACGTTAAAAATTTAAAAAAAATATGCATGTAAAAGAGAATATGCATCTAGAAGATAAGAGTTCCATATACCCGAGACCACATGTTTAAAGAGAAAAAATATTGTGCATATATTTATGGAGAATATATTTGAATTAATAGAAATAAATATTTGACTTTTTATTAGTCGAGACATTGTGTAATCAAATATATAAACGTGTTAATACAATACTGTATATTAATTTATTAATATATTTATACATATAATAATGTTGTGAACAATGATCTTTAACAAAACTTTTGATTGCAAATGCAAAAGATATCGCGGGTTTCAAAAATCTTGCAAGTTTGACTGCAATTCTTTTCCATTTATAAAAAAACATCTGCATCTAGGGGAATTAAGAAAACAACAATAACGACTGAGAAATTTGATCCGCTGAAAAAAAACATGCAACTAATTTAATCAATTTAAAATCAAGAATTTTCGGATAATGTGATTGGGCTTCGTAAGCCAGTTAATTCCATTGAAATCCCTTATGAACTAGTTTCAGTTCAATGTATTCATTTTTCGCCTGGCTCATTGACACCCAACATGAATGATAATTATATAATGGGTACAGTTTTTTTCGAAAGGAATGAGCATGAAAAACTTTTGTTTATTTACATGAAACGTGGAATGAATTGCAGTTCGTTTCAAATTTCCTTGTTGGTTCGAAAAATCAGTATCAGCTCCGAGAATCGAAAACTGCAAGTCAAATAATCATCCGATTTTTTGTTGAATTAAGGTTCTAACCATTTGGGAATGTTCATAAGAGGAAAAAATTTCATATTAAAAATGTCACAGAAAGTTCTCATTATGGAAATGGGATGATTTCTAAGATTTAAAAGATTTAAGGAAAATAGTCATTTATCGCGAAAAAAAACGAAACTCTAAAGGGTAAGGGTTTCATTTGATGTAAAGAATCTATATTAGCTAATATCTGGCGTGGCATACATGTGTTGACCAAAGAGGGAAGATTTGCCCAAGAAAAATGAACTCGTGCTACTTGCAAACGTTAAATTTTGATTGATACAAATTATCATTGTTACGTAGTTTTTTTTTTTTTTTTTTAATTGGAAGTTTTATTTGTTCTTTACACAAACCTTTCTTCTCTAAGAAAAAAACAAAAGAAGACTATTATTTTTCTTTGTTAAAAAAAGAGTTCAAAGCGTGCCTAGGAACCTTTGCGCCTACACTGGAAAACACATTATCGCATTCACATGGCACTAAAGGTCCTTACGACTTCTATTATGCATCCTAAGCGTTAAATCTACTCGATTTAGCAAAATTTAACAACTCGCTTTTTTTCGTTCGTCTTTTCAGTACGAATTAGAACAGTGGGGTGCGGCGGTCGCATCATACGATGAAAACGATTACGAGGCGGCGCTAGATTCATTTGGAGAAATTAATGTAATCTTTAGTTATTTGGCAATTGCCGTTATTCGAGGATAGATCTAATTCAGATCTATTTCCGTGTCACCCCTAATATTTAACGTCCGTCATTTTAAAATAGAAAATATCGCCGTCCGCCAAATATTATTTTAATATAGGCCTTATTTACGCGACCCTCGGTGAGCACGAAGCAGCAGTGGGTATCGAAATAGTCTTATATTGATGGTCATTCCTTAAATTCTCATATTGTCCGGTTCATGGAAACTGATACTATCATGTCATTTTCAAAAAGTGTCGATCTTATAAGGAATCGGTACGATCAGACCAGTATTTTGCAGTGGCATACTTTCAGAAGGGCGTCTCACATTTCCTCTTGGAAGATTTTGGCAAGGCATTAGCCAACTTCAATGATGCACTACTGGTAATTTAATTATCAATGACTCTGATTAGGTTGGAAATAAATTTTATTAACGTTGGATGCTTTTAAAAACTTTGTTTAGTACCTCAGGGGAAATCTGCTTATCGATTACGAACAACTTGGTCTTAAATTCCGTTTATATTCATGCGAGGTTTTGTTTAATCGTGGGCTCTGTTATCTATACCTTGGTCAAACGGAACAAGGGATGAATGATTTTTCATTAGCATTAAAGGAAAAACAGACCGAGGATCATGATGTCATCGATGAGGCTATAGCGATTCAAGGGCAGGTGAGCGACCATTCGTCTCTCAAAGATTAAATGGTCGAGTGAAATTATGAATTGATTTATTCATTTATTTATTTTGCGCAGGGCTTCACCGTTTTTTCCATACCCGTCGGTATAATATATAGGCCCCCTGAAGGAAAACTTAAAAATGTAAAATCAAAGGACTATCTGGGCAAAGCAAAATTGGTGGCAGCAGTGGATCCAGATGACGCATTCACCGGTTTTTCGGGTGCTCAGCAGCAAAAGGCATGCTTAAGTAAAAATTTGTCATTTGCGCAAATATCGTCGCAGTGATTTTAATTATGATTATTTGGTACGTTAGAAAGCCCAGATGAACACGACAACCCCGATCTCAAAAGCCAGGACTGATGGTACCGTGGATTCCATTCCTAGACCTGATTCTCCTACCGATAATATACCTCGGCCGAGGTCCTTGTCCACAAACCCAAGGTCGGCTCCATTTCCATTGCGCACCATACGAAATTCTGGAGCTTTGAAAAGCCGTCCCGCCGACTTGGACGAAGATCGGCCATCATTCACAAAGTTGCAAGACGGACCTTTGCGGAATAGGACTCCCATTCCTATTGCCAATGAGGTCTTTTCTGAGCAAGGTGATAATAACACCAAACCGATTACCCTTTCCAGAAATGGCTCGGCAAGGCGTCCACCGCCAAACCAATTACGTTTACAAAATCTCAGTCGCTCCAACACAATGGATAGTGGACGTCCTTCGACAAAATTATCTAATGCTCCATTGCGCGTGAATTCTGTGAGGGATCAAAATCGTTCCGCGCCTACAAGGTCGGATTCACTCAGAAGTCGAAGTAATTCACCTCGAGGCTCTCCTCAATTGCGTGGTAGGGGTGGAAGGCCTATGCCTCAGAGGCAAAATACGTCGGCGCGCGCGCAATTCCTACAAAAACAGATGCAAAATATGTCACTTTCCGACGAAGAGAGTTACACCGAATATTTCCAAAATTCAGATCAAAGCAATCCCATCAACAATAATGGGGATTATAATCAAATGTATGATTTTAATTCAGGAAATAACAAATACTATAGTGAAGATAGTGATTATTTACGACCTAATCAAAATGATTTATACGGTAACAATAATAACAATGATGGTAATAGTGACTATAACAACAGTAATAGAAATCCAATTGATCAGCGCGTGACCTCACCTCCTGCTATATCCCCAAGTTCGCGTGGTCGTAGCGCTGATACGAACTTCAGACCTTTTCCTGCGCAGAGCGTCTCAACTCCGAATTACGCCAACATTGTTTTCAGCGAGGATGGTTATGGCGAAGATGATGATACACAGTTTGAAATGCTTCCCCCTCCACAGAAAACCTCTCCGACTTCACCCGAATCTCTCAAGGAAATAACGAAGGTTTATTGCTATTACTTTACCAGATCAAGTTTGTCTATTTACTTCTTCATTTCATCCTCATCAAATCGCGAACCCAAAATTTTTAGGTGAAAATTAAGGTTTACGGCAAGAACGATACTCGTGTAGTTATGGTGCCGGTCGACATAGTGTTTTCGGAGCTCATGAAACGTATACAGGAAAAATTCGCCTCAGATCAACCTTTAAAGCTTAAATACAAAGATGATGACGATACATATATTAGTATGACCGATCAAGAGGATTGGGAAATTGCCATCGCAATGCTACCGAAATCATCTAATGGCATAGGCAGATTTGAGGTAATTGGCTGAATTTTTTCTTTTCCATAAGCAAACCAATAATTAATATATTTCTTTAACGCTAAATTTTTGCTGATAGTTATGGGAATAAATCAGGAATCATTATATTTTGTGAGAGAGAGAGGGAGAAAAAAAAAAATTTTTTTTTATTTCAAAATTTCATAGCGCTGGATCGTTAAAAGTCTCCTCGGTAATGATTGGTAGAAATCGAGTGAACATGTGTGTGTGGCTTTTACGATGAAAACGTCCGGTAAGGAATGTTCAACGGATGTCATCCTTTTATGATATTTCTTGTGAAATCGTTTTCAGTCAGCTAATCGAAATATCACTAATTCAATAGAAAGGGCTTCATTCATTTCTCGTTGCATGCACATTTCTTTACTCGATTATCTCTTAACATTAAAAGTTATATAATTTTAGAGTGCAAAGAGACTGTAATCATACATCTTCAAGTCATCTTAACAACACCACCACCGTTATATTATTTCTTTAGACCTTTTCAATTATATATATGTAATTAATTATTTCTTGTTTATAATAGACCTCCATCGTGAAAAACAATCAAAATCACACTATTTTTGAGACAGATTAATGAAGTATTATTTTTTTCTCACATGTTTGACAGGTTGTTCGTCAGACGAATGTCTGAAAACTAAGTATAAATTATTTGGGCGTTTCATTATTATTATTATTATTATTATCATTATTATTAAAACGTATTTTAGCTTATTTAACTGTTCAATAATTAGTTATGTGGACATTTTTACACTTACAAATTAGTTAAAAGTAATTTTACTATCTACAGTATTTAATGTAATTTCGAAACCTGTTAAATACCAACTTACTTTTTTTTACAAGAAAGAACTCTATTTTGGCAAAAATTAGTAAATCTACCTTTGATCTTAAAGGCCTAATCGCATGCAAGAACCAATATTATTTTCTACCTTATATTTTGCATTTTTAATGAATATTATTTGATTGCCTAAAGAATCAATTCAAAGGAAGGATTTATAATCACTTTTGTTTAACTACTTGAAGAAGCACAAATTCAAAGAAACAACTTACAGTTCGCATATGTAATACAACCTATCTATATTTTCAAAAGTTTCAACAAACTATGCCATCAACTTGGTAATGGATTAATATTAAAAAAAAATATGAAAGCCAATGGATAACTGGAATTATTTGATTTTTCACAATTTTTCACAATTTTATTTTTATGCCTTAAAGCACTATAACTATAACATAAAAAATTTGCTTTGATATGGAAAAAAATGTTATTGTCATTTATAATTAATTGGTATAAATTTTAAATATAATATACAATATATATTTTTAAATTATAATTAACAAGCTTATAAAAAAAAATTTTTTTTCTAATTTTATTAAATTGTGATTTGAAATTGACTATTTAAAATTTAGTTCTTAATTGGTTGGAAAAATATATACAATAAGTAATAACAATTTTACAAGAATCTGATTTCATTTATTCATATCTTCATTGTTAACTTCAACTTTATCAATTTTTAAATTTCTAATAGTATATGTGAAAACTTTAAAAAATTTTATTTTGCATATCTATTTTTTTTTTTTTTAACCCATAGTCAGGTCAGCATGGCTTGTCTTTATTGTATATATATCAGATATTTACAAATTATTTTGACT